TAGTCACCGCAGCCATATTAGATTCGTGACGTCAGAAGCGAGAAATGACACGCCGAGAATTCTTGCGTGCCATTTCTAAATAAAATGATAATTTAACAAAGTAACACTCTGGATCGCTTTAAGACACCTGTAAAATTGTCCGAAAACTATGCTTTTTCCTTGACAGGTTATAAACAATTGTTATATCAACAGTGAAACGAAGCCTAATTATGCGAGAAAACACACGGTTGACAGCTGTCTGTATGAGTAGAAAATTCTCCTTCTACGTTGGGCTTTCCCTGCTAATCTTAGTTTTCGGATAATTTTACAGGTTTCATGAACACGTCACATATCACAGTACTAACATTTAACGAATATTAATGAAATGGCACGCAAGAATAAATTGGGTAGTCAACATGTCATTTTTTCACGCCTAATAGTTCATCGATTCTCCACCTAAGACGCTGCATAAGAATTTCTGTCATATGGACATGTCGGTAACGGTACTAAGCTATATATATTCTGTATTTATCGCGTTTATTTTTTTGTAAACAAATTTTTAAATTATAAATTAACATTTTGTATGTTATTCAGTAATTTACTTTTATCGAATCAATTGATTAGGTCAAACTGTTACACTATTTATTTATACGATAAATCGACTGGGTAAATTCGACTAGGTTTTTATTCCTACCACAATTATGTCGCTACTGTCAACGCGGAGTTCACGGCTGCGGGACCAGGAGCCTTAACGCCATTGCTTCGCGAAAGATCTAATGCGCGCGATACACGCCGCGAGTAGCGAGGGCGCAGTAGCAGTGTAACAAATGAATGCGGCGAACAGTTGATCAACCGTTTAGTGAGTAATGACGAAACTGTTGCAGAGCGCTGCGATTTATGTAAATATAACAAGAAGTTTTGTAGATCCAACAAGAAAACACTTATTCAAATCCTTATAGTAAAGTTAACCAAACGGTGTTGATATAAGGTGTAAAATTTTGTGACGATAACCAGAAATTCTGTTTCGTTCGACTAAAATACGGTCAACCAGAAGAATTTTGTTAATATAATAAAACCATTTTTCTCAGTGTATATTTTAGCGTTTCCTTGTATGCTGATGTTAATTACCGATAATAACCATAATGGCTTACATGCAAGAACCTTCGCATACGCATTTGCAAATTTCCGTCGAGCACAATATGGAAATAGATATTGAACGCAGATATTAATTGATTGATATTAATTGATCGATGTCAAATGATATAAATTTGTTCTGCGTTCAAAGTCTTTTTTCACGCATTTCTTAAAATATTATGTATTATATATTATATTATGTATTATGTATTATAAATTATTTCAAATTTTTTTCCTCTTTTTTTTATTACCTAACAATAAAAATATTTATTTTTTATTTATCAGGTTTGTATCTGTTTTGATTATTTATTATCTTAGATCAAATTTGCTATCAATCTGCCAACATTGCTAATATTTTATTCACTGAAATATATAACGTTGATAATTTTTGCGACGTTGATGAAGGCCTTCAGTGCCTGCATAGAATACTGGTAATTATCGATATCACTTATCCCCCTACTCCTCCACCCCCTCCCCTCACTCGGCTTTGTAATACAAGTGTTCCGGTTTGCATGATAAAACTTTGATAATTCAGAAGCGACGATTAGTAGCATTTTATTAACGCTATTGAATAACTCTTGTAAGAGCGATTTTATATCAATTAAAAAAAAAACGCCAAGAAAATAGAATAATATTTCACCGCTTTAATTTGATAGTGCAAATAGTTGAATCTCAGATTAGTTGTTTTTCGTCTTTTGATTGCAATTTTAAGAGAGAAATTAACGATCGTACAATGCTTATTTGATTTCGATTTAATAGCGACGATTAGACCGCTTAGAAGTAATAGGAGATAAATGTGTGAATAAATATAGAAGTAAATTACTGTGCATACATGAATTGGCATATTTGCGTTAATAAAACTTGTTAATATAATCTTGATTATATCATGTGAAACGCGCAAAATAAAAGCTTTACAATCTGCTAAAAAATAAATATACGGAATTGAAGAATTTTAGAGAAAAAAATACTAGAATTTAAACTGCGTATGTGTGCGATTGCGAATAAAATGGCGTGTAAAAGTTTATCGCTGCTCATATTGCAGTTTCATTACATGTTCTAGGTAAAGAAATAGTTCAATACATTCTTTGGAGGAGCATGACGGTCGCCGATAAATCACGAATTGCTTCACGCGCTTGCCGCATTATCGGTTAACAGTTATTACAATCGAGAATATGGAATATTTTACTGCATGACATGACATTACCGCCGTATCTGATGTAAGCGATAGTCGCGAGCAACAGACGTCAGTTCGTTATCCAGTCCTTTGTTATCTGTTGAAATGCGAAATTAAAAACAATACCTTCACCTGACTTTTCCCCTCCTCGACTCTTATTAGCACATTACGCGCAAAACATAAAATTGGAGATAAAGTTAAAACACGACTAAAATGTATAGCAAATATATATGATACTAAAATAAAATATAAAACAATTGCGAAACTATCGTTAATAAATTTGTTATGAAAAATGATTAAAATAAAATTAATACTTCTTGATTTTTATCAGCAATTTTCATTGCAAGTATTGCAATGTTTATTTTAATTAATTTAAATTTATTGTATTAAGCTTACTCTTTACTGCTTTGCAGCAAATATATGTATAATCACTTATATTTGGATAAAATTCTTACGTTATATACAATGTAGATTTATTTTTGACCGGGTGATATTAATTTTTTTCAGCAGTAAATTGAGATGTACGAATATAACAAGATTATCATATAAATGTGAAAATAAAAGCATATCATCAATTACTAAAAATCAGGCTTACAGCTGGAGAGAAATCATAATGCCTATAAATATCGATTTATCTGACGAGATGCCGTACCAGACATCGTTAATAATCGAGCATCTGTTGCACGAGATATACTCCAGGACCGCCATCGCGCTGTCTGGGCATCCTGTTACCCGAATACTTTTCACTCTTTTTTTTCCAGCATTAATCCCCGGCATCTTCTGCTAATCTTTGACAATCCTCTGCATCAATTTTTTACGTCATTTTCATTCAAAGAGCGCATTTAATTTGTATGACAATTAAAATCGTTCTTTGATGACAAACTTCTTTGCAAAGTTAACATTCTATTTTTAGAATTTTAATGTAATTGAGTTTTCTGACTCTGTCAATCCTTTATGTGGGTTTTATACGTCATTTTTATCACAATCGCATACGATAATTTGCATAAGATTAGATTTAACTTGCTTTTCTCTGCAAAAGATTATTTTCCTTTTCTAAAGTTTTTTAATTCCGTATATATGTTTATTTTTTAGAAGAATTAATTTTTTAGAAGAATTAAAACCTTTTATTTTTGGATATAACAAGATGTAATTCAAACGTTAACAAGTTTATTAACATAAAGATTATATCAAGAATTCTGATAATTGTAAATATAAAAAATATAAATTCGAAGATATAAAATACAAATTTAAATCCTTTAAATTCTTGTTACACAAAAATTAATTATTTGTGATATAGAACAGAGAATAAGATAACTAATCCTCTAAGGATTTATTAAACAATTATATCTGAGCGTATTCGCGTTCATACGAAGAGATAAATGTTATCGCGGCAAATAATTCCGTTAATCGAGTGGGCGCAAAATCAATTCCGCGATCGGCGAGTCAGCGCGAGTCCTATAAAAATTATGCGCTGACGAGCGCGTTCTGAGATAGATAATTAGTCGGCAAAGCTATTGTGTTGCTGGTTTAACACACGCGCAGACCGTATCGCGGTGCGGGAAATAGTTGTTTAGATAAAACTCGTAGTGGAGAATGGCGGTGCCGGCATATTCCGATGTACCGCGATATGTATTCATGAAGTTATCGTTTACTCCTTAACACCGTCCTGTTTTGTGTACAGTATGCGCTATCTTTCAGAGTGATAGAGATGAAATATATTACACTTTGCAATATAAATTAATAAAATTCACCGACTGCACTACTTTTCGAGTAAGCACGTGATCCCAGTGCTCTATTT